CCTGCTGCCCTCTGTCCCTCACACATTCCAACTCATTCCTGTCAACCCCACTGTTGAAAACAACTAACTTTATTGTCTTTTACTTTCATTGGGAATGCAATGTGAGAATGTGCCTCCCTCCTACTCCTCACCCTCACTGTCCCAGTCCTTTCCTTTCGTCTCTTGTCCATGCAGGGTTGGTCTAAGACGCAAAGCAATCGCCCAAGGTGTGCGTACGTTCAAGAGCTGGAAACCAACCACTCCTTCATTGTATTTAATCACCGAATGTTGCCTAATGTGGGTGAGGGGTTTGTAAATGGGGAGACTGGACAACTTTTGAGCAATCGTGATGCAGTGAGACGGATGATTTGATAATGGATGAAGGAGTAAGAGATCTCGAATGAATTCGCTGCAAATTCCGCGTCTAAGTGTTAAGCTGCCTCCGAGTTTGGCAATTTTATACTTCGCTTGTAGCCCAGATACATTAACTAGGTCTATTATCCCGAAGATTGGAGATGGATGTATGTGAGACTGGCGGAATTCACGAATTCAGGTTACTGCCCAGACTGACATCAAGCCCCAACTGTCCTACAATTCTACCATGTCAGTGACACCTATTGTCGAAAGAGTAGCCACTCAATCGAGAATTGTGCGACGTACATGACTTACGTGGTAGCCTTGCATGATTGTGAACAATGAAGACACTGACACTCAAGACTGAGTGTCAGTCTATCTCTTTCCATTATCATCTCTTCAACTGTCTACATGCAAATTAGACTTTTAACGAAAGCAAGTGGCAGAATACCCCAAATCTACGAGCGTTGCAGGCCATAAAAGACATCGGTAAGTAAAGTAACTCGTGTTGAAAGAGGTAATAAATCATTGTATAATTGGCATAAAAACAAAAATAGACAAAAAGACAAGGTTGTCTGCAGCATTTGTCCAACATCACACCTCCCACTTCACTGGGAAGCTGCACGTTTGACTCGGAACAACTTAGTGACATGCATAGAGGATAGCACAAACGTACTCGAGGATTCTCCTTTGCATGTAAAAGCAGTTGCCTACGTAAGGTGTTGGGGACGGTGAAAGAAAGAAGGTTGGTGGTGGGCGCCCCTGTCCATGCACTGTAGAACGCGACCGTGTTTGGTAAGTGGGACCATCGCAATTGCGTGATCCCATCAACATCACTAAAACACTTCCAAATTAAAAGAAGAATGTAATTCCCACCTCTTCCTTTGACATGCGCGGAAGGCTTGGGGGTGTGCGAAGTGGAGAGCTAGACATCACGTCACCATGCCAACGGACAAATCAGGGAGATGAGGAAATGCAAGTGAAGAGTGGACGGTAAAGTAACACTGGTGACACGATTGGGCGCGTGGTGCAGTAAACTGAATTCGAAATTGCACTCAATTCTATTTGTAATGCTTTCGGACCCATGCATATGTTGGCGCTTGCTTTTGTAGCAGATCCCGTGATGATTCCATGGAATATTCTCATCTCCAAAGCATTTGTGATTCGCCATCTCCGTGGTTCGTGATGTCTGACTTGCCTCCTTGCACACCTCCAAACTTGCTGCGCAGGTCAAAGTGTAGGAGATGTAGTAAAGAGAGCGGATTTTCCATTTTGGGCACTGATGATCTGCTTGAGTGTGTTGATCTGGCTCTCTCAGCTAACGCTTGACTGTTGACGTGTTCACTGACGTTGGTGTCGCAAAAGCAGACTCTGACAGATGTGTGAGAGAAGGAGTCGCCTCTGTGGAAATGGGTATCTCCACCGGTGACGGAGACGATGCAGGTGTGTTATGATTTTCTAGCTACAATTGCTTTGTCGCATTTCTTCACAAAGTTCGCCACAGCATTTGACAGCATAATAGGACTTGGTCACAGTCGGCTATATGGGCTTCAGAGTCTTGGTAGTCACAATAGGATGTGAAATTGTAAAAGTGGTAGAGATAGGAAGGGGAAGTACACGAAGTCAAATTTCGACAGAC